CCCCAAAACCCCAAAACCCCAAAACCCCTTAAGCATAAATTACTTTAAAAAAATGTAGAGCAACAAAAATTAATTGAAATAATGATAAAAGGAAGAATCATAGGAATTTTAAACTTTATGAACATTTAAACTTATTACATAACATAGCATTTGCATTTCCTATGTGTTAAATTAGGCTTAATTTATATGTATTAAAGTTATCATGTTTCAGCAAGACTGGAAATTTCATTCTGTCTTTGGCCTGCTCTAGATTATCTGACCTAATTCTTTTCTTAAAGTTAAATTTTAATTTGTTTGAGTGTGCCATTCAATAAAGCTATTTAGTTTTCTAGTAGTGATACTGTATATTTCAATTGTTAGTTCTCACTTTTCATATTCTCATTTTCTTGTAGTATTTTATCAAATTTAGCCTCTAATTAGCCAATTCTGTCTATTCCAGAAGCTCCTTATCCTAATGAAGCAATTTTTTCATTCTAAGCTCTTCTGCAAAGATTGTGGTACATATTCCAATTCTACTCTGTAAATTCCGACATTAGTGTTTAATCGCTGAAGTCACTTTAAATAACATCAGAATAGTATTTCCAAATCAAATCTTGATCAAACTACTTTAGCTAAACGAGTTCCTAATAAATTTCTTCGAACTACACTCCTTCGTTTTCTATCTTATCAATGATTTCCTAAGCTTTATAATCAAGACAGAGTTCCTCGAGAGAAGAAAAGTATTTAGCAAAATCATCATTAAGCTATCTAACTGATTAGATCTAGTCACTCAGCTTTTTTCTTCTATCATATTCTGGTAAAATAATGAGACCCTTCTCGAAGAATTCAATAAACTTTGAATGTTCGTGCTCGTTCTCACAAAATTTTACGTAAAGTTTCTCGACCTCATTCTTCTTAGCATCTTCGATATTCATGCAGTCTCGGATAACTTTGATGATAGATGTCACTTTATGAGGATGTCCTCCTTCTGAAAGTTCTTTTTGTGCACATGACTCACAGAAATAACGAAATCCATTGCAAGGTGTTGGATTTGTGCAATAATACTTAGCTTTTATCTTACAACCCTTGGGACAGTCTTAGAGCTTTTCCATATCCATCCTTTGATTTAGAGAGAAAGTATCCATTGCCTTAGATTTCATTATTTTGATCAATTCTAATAATTATATTTTATTTAGATATTGAAGTTATTAAGTTGGGTTACTATGGAGTAAGGGGTTTTGGGGTTTTGGGGTTTTGGGG